AAAAAAAAAAAAAAAAAAAAAAAAAAAACAGAATTTTGAACTATAAACAACAGTAGGTAAACTTGGAATTTATGTAAAAATAAATGATATTACTACTATTCACAGTAACAACTGAAACTCTTCATATGCTTTCTATGAACTATGCTTAATGCTTTAGGCCCCATTATCTCACTCAATTTTAATAATAAATCTGTGAGGTAAATAATATCCATGTTCCCATTTTATAGAAAATAAAAATGAGTCTTATAAAGATGTATTTGTTGGGTTCTGAAGGAAATAGAAGATGGCTCACTCAAAATGGACGACGCAAGAGGATTTAGCAAAAGAAATTTACCAAAGTCTAGGCAGAGTGTAAAAATATCACAAGGCATAATGTAGTATCCTGATGCTAGTCACCATCACCATCCCTAAACCTTGAAGGAGGAATGAGCATAATTACTAGAAGCCAGAGAGTGTTAAGTAGAGAAAACCATCTTGCTATATCCTCCTTTGTAAAAGAATGCAGCCAGCCTAAAGAAACACCAAGAGAAGAAGTGAGGGGAGCAGACATCTCATGCTTATTTTTCTCTAGTACCCTATGGAGGCTCCTATTAGCTCAAATCAACCAGAAGCACCAGATCAAGGGAGTGTGTGAGAAAAATCCAGAGTCAGACTGCTGAGACAGGACAAGTGGGAGGAGTGGAGAGTGGATCTAGAAGGCATCACTTTCCACGGGCACAGTAATGGGGCAGGTCACTAGTGAACTAAAACCACTAATTAATGAGGCAGAGACTCAAATCTATAGTTGTCTGACTTTAGAGCCCAGCTTTTATGAACCATGCTCTCCTTCCAATGGCTTTGAAACAACAAAGAGGGGAAATTATTCCAGAGAGCATCTGTGGGGAGGTCAAAAGGCAGAATGTGCAAAACAATGACATTTACTAGCTGTGTAACCTTTGGCAATACTATCCTGAGTCTCTTTTCTCACCTCCCAAAAAACTTCTATGTCTAGGAGTGTGGATCTTCTGAATGCACTGACCTGTCAACTTTATTAGAGCTGTTCTGCCTTAGAGAGAAATGTGCCAACCTTATGTCCAGACACATCACTGCTGCTCTGGTAGAGGGAAGAGCTGCCTGCTTTGTCAACTTCACAAAATTAACCCAAGGTCAGAAAGAAAGTTGTGAAATTTTCTATTATTTTTACTGCATTTCATAGAAAAACTCACTCAGTTCACCAAACATGAGTCAAGAAAATCTGTTTCCATGATAAAACAAAACTTAGGAAGAATGTTTGCATCACAACAGCATTCTTCTCTCAAGTCAGTATCTCACAACCACCAGCACCAGAGACATGACCCAGGGTCTCCCATACTGTGCTGTGCCCACAGTAAATGCACGTGACAGAGACCTACTTGGTTTCAAGTACCTGTGAAGTTGCAGAGATATCTTACAGTAGCTTATAAAACCTGCAGGAATATTTCTATACCAAAGGGAATGTGATAAAGCAACGTACAAATTGGAGAAAAATCCAAGAGAGCAGCAGCCAAGTAAAAAACTCAGAACAGGAGAAGTGTGTAAAGAAGTTGATTATTATAATAGGGCTTTTGGTTTTGTTGACATACAGCACAAGAGGGCATTCAGGCACAGATAAAAACTGAATTACCAAAATGAAACTTGAACAGAAGGACAAGAATACATGACTCATTTTGTTTCTTGGAACTTGCAATAGAAAGAAAGAGAAATGGAAAACACAAGAAAAGACAAAAGATTTAATAGTGATCCAAATGGTGCAACATCCAACTAGTAAGTTTTGGGAATAGAATACAGGGAAAGCAGAGAAATAAAGCAAAAAAAAATTACCCAGCTGGGCATAGTGGCACACCCCTGTAATCCCAGCACTCAGGGGACTGAGGTAGGAGGATCACAACAAGTTCAAGACCAGCCTGGTCTACATAGGGAATTCAAAGCCAGCCTGAACTAAATATTGAGACCCTGTCTCAAAACAACAACTACAAAAATTGCTCAAACTGAAGGGAAAATTCAACAATGGATGGTCCTGCCAAATCATTGATAAAAATTTACTTAGGAAAATTATTGTAAAAATTTAAAACAAAAAATACAAGAACAACATATTATAAATACCTCCAGGGAGAAAAATAAATGTCTTGTCAGTAACCATATATTAGAGAATATCTTTAAGGTCAAGAAAGAATATTTAAGATTTTTAAGAATTTTTAAAATTTTATAGCCAGCCTAACTATCAATATAAGGAAATAATAAATGTGGACTTCTAGGCCCACCGCTACTGTCACATGGATTTATCCTCTCATAGTCACACTTTTATAGGTTGTCACCGAGAAAGACGAAGGCACAGGACCCCAGAAGTTCTGCATCCAGTGCCAAAAGATGGAAAAGGAGCTCTGTGTGATAACAATGTAACAAGTCCAAGTATTTAGACAGAAAATTCTCAGAGAAACATCTTTGTGAGGGAGGAAAAAGCAAATGGCATTAATTTACTGTTTTTTTAATTATTTTTTAATTATGGGGAAATTAAATAAGATAGATATTAAAATGTAGGTGTTACAGAAATTATAAATATGATAAATATATAAAACAAAATAAAAGGAAATAAGAAACCTCAAGGTGAACATTTGAGAAGAACTACATAGGAAAGGCAAGAACAAATAGAAGCCCAGCTAATAAGTGGCATAATTTCCACTTAGAGGTAGGGATGTGGAGATAAGGACACCAGTTAGAAAGACATTTCAGCTACTTGATGAAACATCATGGTCCTGGTAGTCTGATGCAAGTTCATGGTGGCTGAATGGAGATAAATGGTTGCATTTTAGAACTATTAAAATCGAATGTTCCACATTAGAAAAGGACATTTCAAGAAGATACTATTGTTTGATTTGAAAATCTGGGCATAAAATGCTACAATCCTCTGAGATATAGAATGCTAAAGGAGAAAATGTTTGGAAAGTACAGTGGTGTGATGTTCCAAATCTGAGATGCTAAAAGGACATCCAAGTGACAATGGCCATTGGTCCCCAAAAGTATTGTTTGGGGTATTGAAAAACAGTCTGTTTTGAAATGTGGCAGCAATAGGAAACGTTTGGTTAATAATTCATGATTCAATGTTCCCTGAGCTCAAAAAGCAAAAATACCAATTAATGAAACTTTAAGGCAAATAACTCAAGATAATAAGCAATAAAATGTATAGAGAATCTTTCTAAAGTTCTATTATATGTTATTTTGATCCATATAGATGTTGGGGTTTTCTAACGCATTCCATTTGACCACCATACTTTCAAAATAGCAAGGATTTGACTTGTCTTTTTTCAAACTCCATATAGTTGATATGCAATCCTTCAATGCTACTTTTTTTCTCTCCCAAAACCATATCTCTCATAGATCATAGTTAATCTTAGAAAGCTCTATAAGACATGTGATTTGATCTCTTACTTTCTGCCTACTCTACTTGGCTCTCAACATTTTATCACAAAATTCCAAGAACTGTTTATGAAAATCCTGATTATAGCTGGAAAGTGGGGAAAAGGGAAAGCCTACAGTTAGCCAAACTAGAATCCTTTTTGGTGTCAGTGAGGAAAATGTTTGGAAACATGCACGCATCAGTAGGTTTGATTGCATTCCACATGCATTGTTTCTACAGAAAGACCCAGCAGTGTTAAATATTCAATGTGATTATGGTGCTTTCCAGAGGAAGGACAGCTTCCTGTCCACCAATAGGCCTCTCAGGCAATACAGTTCTGAACTTGGCCCTTACCTTGTCGACAAATCTCCGTGGTCATCACCCTGGGAAGTGGTACCAAGCTATATAAGCTAATCGAAGGACCCCAGATTCTAGCAATTCACTTAGGCTGCACTTGCTTCCACTTACCTTGGGAGATGCTCTTTCCAGGCTGTAGAATAAGGATCTTTTCACACTCAGGGTACCACCTTCTCATTAGCAGATCAGTTCATAATGAAAATGCTAACTGGTGACCAGAGAATGAAAATAAATGGAAATAAGTATGACCTTGAGTAAACTTCATACTCATGTTAGAGGTGATGCTATGGTGAAGAACTGTTACCCCACACCAACCTGAAGAGAGTGGAGCCTTCATGGCTTCCACTTTCCTGTCTAGACTGCAGGTTGTAGTCTCCTTTTCTATTTATCCAGACTGACTGTCTTCCATGTCCTCAACTGCGGCTCCAGCTAAAGCAGAATGCAATTGGGTTCCAATTACTAAATCCAAGTCACATTCTAGAACTACCTATATGAAATTACATGTAGATGAATTTAACTGGAGTTTTGTGTGTTCCCAAACACTCAAAGTACATATTCACAGAGTCTGGCTTATTGGCTCTCACAGGTGACAAACCTATTTCCAGTTTAGGAGAAAGCATCTGCATGCTGTCCTCTCTCCCTCACTTATCCCTTAACCTACATCCTATAGTTAGTTACCCAAAAATGGAGAAGTAAAAAATACTTGTTATTATTTAGGTGTTAGTGTCACCATATATAAATGTATTAAAATGTTGGGAAAGACATAAAGTCAGAGTCTGCTATTAGTAGGATCTTCCCATAAGACGACTGTCATAGATTTTCTTCCTTGTATATTTTCATGAATTTTTCATTTTACCAAATAGTTTTCAAATTGCACTTTTAGATATGAGAAACAGAACTTATAGTTAGCAATTCACACAGACAACTGACTTGTTTCATGTTCTATCCTAATTCCCTATGTTGTTTTCACTTTTATCCCTCATAATGTTGACCTATTATTGGGGGATATTGGAGGAGGGGTGGGACAATTCTAGGCCTCAGTGCCTGGTGTGAAGTTGGCCTGGAGGCTCAACATGGTGGGGCAAGTTATGGGCCCCTGTGCCCTCAATCTGGACACATGTTCTGCCATCTTCTCCAGGTCCTGTGGCTCTCCACTTCTTTTTGGAGAGAAACACAGAAGCAATCATTCAATTTAATGATGTTCAAGCACAGTGAAAAATAATTTAACTGTACAGACAGGATAAAAATGTGGAATAGAATGTTTTAGGACTGGAAGGAGAAGATGAAAAGGCTGTACACTGGGTTGCTCATTCCATTTTGTGACTTTTCCATGCCTAAAATTAAGATATCAGTAGCTAATTTCATTTATGCTTCTGGCGTCATTTTCACTTAGAGTCTTCAGCCCTGGATAGAAGTCTGGAAAAGCTATTTAGAGCCTTGCTCTTCTTCCAGGACTCCCACATGCGCACAGAGAAGCCATACGCAGACAGGGCTGGCACACCCACAGAGAAGCCATATGTGCCTAAGAACAGTCAGACAATAGGAACGCCTAGTTCCAGAACGACCGCTGCAGACACAGATGCCTGATTCTTCAGACAGCACATGTGCTTGCGTTCTCACCCTCACACAGATGCAGGACCCACACACAGATGCCGTGACCACGCCCACAGCCTGTGCTAACTCCACTCTATTTCCCTCTAATATGCCCTACCTTAATGTGGAATTGTCTCTTTTTCGAATTTCACATCTTCTTGTTTCACAAATTGAACTTCTCTCTGTGCAGCTGCAATTTCTAAATTGCTCAAAACAATTGAGAGGAAGAGATATAAGTTACAGCTCACTAGACACCTGGGGGAACTGAAGTTTGGGGCAACTAGGTGGAAAGGCCATTGGGGTATGCAGTGTCTCAGCAGATGGACACATGGATGACAGGAAGTACTAGCCTGCAATAGTTACTAGAAGACGTCAACAGATGCTAAAAGAAGACAATAGGACCTGGTGTAGGAATAAAATGAACCCTGGAATCAGACTTGGATCTACTTCTATCAGTAAATAGTCTTACTCATCTCTGAGTATCAGTTTACTCAATAATAAGTCTACTTTTCAATATTCTTATAAGCTTTAAGTGTAGTGAATATATATATACATATATATATAATACAGTGAAGTGATTACATATAAGTTTAATATATATATGTGTGTGTGTGTGTATCCATATTTAGCATCATAAATATGTTTTGTTTTCATTGCTAAAGTTGTTCCCAAAATTTACTGATGTCTCTAGACAAGAGACAATAGCTTTTATTTTCAGAGTCTTTGAATTAAATTAAGAGGGGCTGGGGATTTAGCTCAGTGGCACAGCGCCTGCCTGGCAAGCGCAAGGTCGTGAGTTCAATTCCCGGTACTGGAAAAAAATAAATAAATAAAAATTAAAAATAAATTAAATTAAGAAAGATTATATGTTCATTATTTCCTCCGGAATATGTATCCTTGGTAGATGATATTTGATGAAGGACTAAATAAATAAATAAATAAATGGATAGAGGAAGGGAGGAAAGGAAGATGGACAGAGGTTATAACTATGCTATACTTTTTTATCTTTAGAATCAATACAAATTTAGTATAGCCCTAGAAAGTTCTAACTCTCATGGGAGAGACATCTAGAAAGGAATAAGTCTAATAAAATGAGAGTAGTATTGCAAGGTTCTATTATAGCACAGAAAACAAGAATAACTTCTGGGAACAGGCAGTGATCCATGAAAGTTCTTCAAAGTAGTGACATTTAATCTAGGTCTTCAAGGATAAGAGTTTATTGGACACTAGAAGCTAATAAAGGCCTTCCAGGAAGAAGGAAGACAATAAGCAAAGTCAAGGGCATGGAAGATGCTGACTTGGATAAAACAAGTAGGCTGAAGTGGCTAGAAAAATGCCAGCACTCCAAGCCAAGTGAGAACACAGGAAAGGTAGTTTTGGGAATGAGCTCATGCTCTATTATATATAAAGAGCATCTTTGCACAAGAAGATATTTAATGCAGAGACTAGCAAGCAGAGAAGTAGTGTGGTCATGTTTGTTGTTTAAAAGATCACTCTCACATGAGTGCAAGGATGGACTTGATCAGGGAGACCGAAGCCTAGAATATCAGTCATTTTAAGTCTTCACTACCTTTCGCATGCATTACAACAGTGGTTTCCATAGCACAGAAAGTGGCATGCAAAAGAGGGGATACATTCAACCAAAATTTATGAGGTAGAGTTGGCAAGAGTATTAGATAATTGATTAAATTTTTAGAGTTAGAAGAATCACATGAGACTGAGACTCCAAATATATGTGAATTAGTAAATACTTTTCATTAATCAAAAATAGAGAACTGCTCCATTTATCTATTGCTGATAATGATTTACCCCCAAATTTAGTGCCTTAAAATAATTCTATACATTTTTTTTTTGGTACTGGAAATCAAACTCAGGACCTCGCCCCTTGCCAGGTAAGCACTTGTGCCACTGAGCTATATCCCTGGCCAGTGCCTTAAAATGAAAAATTAACTTTATTGTCATCTCTTTTAGTTTTGGAAGCTGCACCCTACAGGTCTTGCTTGGACTGTCTTTTGTGTTACATCTGATGGTGGCTGAAGCTGGAGGCTCCTTCACACATATGCTCCTCTCTGTGGCTTCTGCAGATGGCCTACACTCTCTCATGGGGTAGTGGTTCAACCCTAATAGTGGTGTGCCAAGGGAACCAGGTCAAAGTGAATAAAGTCATTTTGCTGATCACAGTAGTAACAAAGACCCACTCAGCTCCATGAAAATACAACATACCCCCAGGTCTCAGAGGAAGATACAACATCACATTGAAAAACTTTGAGGTATATCACAGCAGTGATCATACAGAATACAATTTGCTGTAGAGCACAAAAAGAAGAATAAGTTTACTCCCATTTTGGACATGCTGTACAAATATCTGTGGGATACCAAAATGACAAGATAAAAGAAAATGATGAATTTAACCATCACTTTTACCTTAAGCCATTTTCTCATATACACTTTGAATTTTTGAAATCTAAAGTGTGTTTTACAAATGTAGCTCTTTATATATGCTATTTTTACCCAAATATCCAAAATCTAAACAGAATATATTTACTTTTTATAAAAGAAAATAAACTAAAGTTAACATTAAAAATGAAAAGCAGATTTCTTTGTAAGCTTAAATTTCAATAACTGCACACAATATTCTTCTCCACAACAAAATTCAGCCAGTGTTTCAGAAGGACTGGTATTCTAAGTATCAGATTTAACCAATAAAAGTGAAAAGTCCAGATCCCTAACCTCTGCCATACTTAAAATGTGATCTTCAATAAATTGACAATCCATCCCTGCTGTCACTTAGCTAATATCCAGGTAACAATGAACCAGATAATTTTGGGTGGATGTACATCTTACTGCCATCTTTAAATGCTCTGCTGGTCTAAATTCATGTACACACACACACACACACACACACACACACACACACATACACACCACCACCACCACTATCAGTTGAGAATGTTTTCTGTAACGGATAATCTAATAGCTGAAGTAAATATACATTGTCTGAAGGTAAGAGGCCCTGGCATTGTCTTAGTGATTCAGAAATGACAAGGCTTACTCCCAAGCTTGCAAGGTGGTTCCTTGATCACAAATACTTCCACACCCTTTGGGAGAAATGGGTCAAGGCAGTAGCAGAAATGTCTGTCCTTACATCAGAAAGATAAAACCTTCTCCAAGAGGTCTCAGCCGCTCTACACTCAGACTCACTCATGACAGGCTTCCTACTAATTTCATGGTCCAGAATTGAGTCATAGGACCACTTGTAGTTGCAAAGAAAGTTGGGAAAGTGGAAAGGTCAAGATCATTCATGGTCAAACAGCTAGTAAGTGGCAAGTTGGAATTTGCATCAAGGCCAGATTTGAAGCTCACACTTTTTCTATATCACATTGCCCACAATTTTATTATCTGACCCTTGGTCATCTTTCACCCTAATTACCCCTATCTTCACATAGTCTTAATCAAAACCTATCTATTAAAGAGCCCCTTGGCTATGGTCATATTAAACCTTAATTTAGGAGAGTTCACATCACCTCTAGGTTTGCCAAATGCCTACCATAGTCTCTAAAACACAATAAACATTCAAAAACAACAATTTAGCACTTAACTTCCCAACTCACTATCCCTACTTGCCTCTAAAATTAGATCCCCAGGGACGCTATCCAAAAGTAAATGATTTTTAATTATAATTTTGTTGCATCTATAAATTGATTCCACAACTCAAACAAACTATAGGCATGCAGCAACTCCAAACAAAACTATAGGCATTTGGTTCTTGTGACAGATATCAAAGTATTCTTGATTTGTAGAGCCAGCTAACAGAATAGAATACCTATTTTTCTACATTTATTTATTAATCACTTAATATATGAAAAACATTGCTCAGGATTTTGGCAATGCAACAGTGGCAGAACAGACAAGATTCCTGATATTTGAATTTCATTGTAGTGAAGGAGAAATGCACTATTTCAGGTAATGTGAGTGTTGTGAAGAAAACTAAACACAATGCAATAAAGAGTAACCTACATGCAACTTGGAAGAGATGCTTCAACAGGACTGAGGGTGGAGCCCTGATTGTTTGTCATTGCCTGGCCTTGTATGGGGCAGAGTACTCCAGGCAGTGGGTCTCACATCTCCAGGCATGAGTCTGTAGGAACACAGAAAAGAGCACTGGTGCTGAGAAAAATGGTTGAGGAAGACATGGGATCTGGGAGGAATCTATATTTTCTTCAAAGAGCAATGGGAACTTCGATAAATTTTAAGTAAGCAGAGTGTAAGATGATCTGATTCTTTAGTTGCTCTGACAGCTGTGTAGAGAGTGGTTTGCCGGGGTGTATGAGATGCCAGTGAGGAGACGCGGCCAGAGCAGTGCTGCTGGAAACTGCGCAAAGGTGGTGGGCTCAGGGGAGGTGAGCACCGCGCCCCAGTTACCTCTGCAGAAAATTGTGTCCTCATTCATTTCATTTTATCGTCAATTTACAGCCACATGGTGTTTTATCACATTCACATGTATGTTCTCTGTTGAATTGTGGCCACTGTTTCCTCATACATCTTTTTATAATGAATTCCTTAACATGCTGGCAAAATTCAGCTAGATATTTAGCATTTTCTCATATTTGAATGGATGGTACCTACAAGGCAGCTCTGAAGCAGTCAGTTCATTCAAACAGCCTCTAAATTTACAGTTCCCTCCTTCTTTCAGAAAAAAATAAAAAATAAAAAGGGCCACCTCATGTCTTCTTATAGGTACTGTCTGTCAGAGGTTAACTTTCATAATTTTCCCTAATGAGTTAGAAGCATCTCTCTTTTTCTCTGAGTTCTTCTATGCGGATAATAGAAGTAAGATTCTCCTAAAAACTGTTCTGGGGTTAATCAGTGTGTTCCTAATGGGAATTATGAATGGAGTAAGTGAAGAGAAACATATGTCACTTTGGGAAGCCTCCCTTGTAAATGACTATGTCTCAACGCTCACTCCTTCTAGAAAAACCATCTTCATTTAATTGCAGTGGGAGTTGATAATAGTGCTGGTGTTCCTTAGAGTGGAATTTAGATGAGGACTATTATGGCGCCATCCGTTCTGTGCTTTTGTTATTCAGATCCTTCACTGTGGTCACTTATCTTCAGAATATGCTTTGTTTATCAAAGTTAAATTTCTTAAATTATGATGGAGAGGAAAGATGTAGTATAAGAGTAAAGCTCTGCATAAAT